GCAATGTACAGATCTCCCGTTTTCTTATCAAACTCAGCCCTAGTGGCTCCCACAGACATGCTCCATCCCCGGTGCAAATGGCCGAGAACAAATTCTGCCTTGAAAATTACTTCTCCAATCAATGAAAACTATGGGAGATTAAAACTGTAATAAAAAATTACGCTTCCAGCAATTTCCTTCATTAGATTGTGAAAAACGATAATAGCTGCTAAAATCAAAGGAGTAATTTGTTTTCACCACTATATTTCTATTCATAGATTGAGGGAAGTACCATGTCACAGAAGCATGATAAAATTTTCTCAATCTGCAACCTTCATTTCCATTTGACATGATAGGTAACAATCAACATAATGCTCAATGAAGCTCCACATGTTGAATTTTCATTTTCAAATGACTGCTTAACATGAGTCTTCATTCCAAAACATCCATTAATATAGGTAGAAAAAATACACTGGATTTACTTAAAAGACATTTATTTTGAACTAATGAAAATTTCATTTCAATTCATTTACAAATTAATGTTTATGATAGAAATTAACCGTTAAAATTTTAAATAGTTTAGGAAATTCAATGGAATCAATATGAAGAAATTACAAACAATTTAAGCTGTTCTTCAATTCACGAATTCTTTCTTTTTTCGCATTTTAACATGTTCCAAATACAAAATGCTCTTCTGAATTCCATACGAAATTGTTTCAAAATAAATTCTAATTACGAAACTAAGAAATAACTAGAAATTAAAATCATTACGCGGTGACGTTATACCTGTTTGGAGAGGTGAAGGCGAAGTCAGTCCAGCCAATAGAGCGGCCTTGCCATCTGAGGATGCGGCCGTCGCCGACGCCTGTGTAAGGGCCTCCGCCATTGGGATCGAAAGCGAGGCTCTCGGGCCCTAAGGCGCCGTCGACATGGACCACTTCTGCACCGTGGAGAAAGTCACGGGAGCCCTTTATTGAAGGTGGCGAGAAGAAGAAGGGATGCGCTTCGTAAGGGTAAATGACTGGGGGGGCAAAGATTGATATTGCCACTGCTATTATTGCTAATATCCATACAAGCTTTCTGCTCATGGTCATTTCCATTTTCTGCTACTGGTAGCGAAGGCTTTATCACTGGGCTCCTGGACCCCATACCGCTTAACCAACTCACTCTGAATCGGTGAGTTGAAAAGTTTAAACACGTGACTCGCTATCTCCGAGTCAAATTTCTTTTTTTTTTTTTTTTTTTTTTTTTGTTTTAAAAAGGTTTAATGAAATAGTAGGACCCACTTTTGTCATTAGTTAGGGTTCGTTTTATAAATAATTTTTTATAAATATTTATAAGATTTAATCATTTTGTAAATTATTTTTTTGCTAGAGTTCAATTTAAATTTTATAAAATATAAATACAAATGTAATTAAACTTTAAAGAAAATTAAAAATATTGTAAGTCTAACCTTGGCCTTAATTTAATTCAAATAAAAACAAAGGAAACATATATGTATGTTTATAGAAGAGATAAAAAGGAAGATTAGGATTAATCATTTAATCCCTTTCGGGCATAAATTGTTTCCACCATTTTTAAGGGCATCAAAAGAACACATTTCTAATAATAAACAAATTTCTTTTGGTATAGCTAATAGTTTTTTTGGAATTTCTCGGGCAACTCATTCATACATAATAAATGGACTTCAAACATTAATATATTTTTTCATATTGTGATTATGAATTTAATAGTTTCTTATTAAGAATGTGAAAGCCTCCACCCATTTAATTTTCTTTCCTTTCTTTTCCTTTCCTTAGTATAGAATCTTGCATGATAAGTAATTTTTAGATCTAAATTCATTATAAGTTTAGTTGACATTTAACTTATAATATTATAATAAAAAATTCTGTTAGTTTTATAAGTTTGAGATATTTAACTAAATTAAAATATTTTTTTCTGTGGATTATAAAATAGACTCACATTAAAAACCTATCAAATAAGAAAATGCACAAAAAATAACATATGATATGTATGTAAAATGTTAATTGATACATACACTTATATTATTGGAAAATGTACTTTTAACTCATGAGATTTAAAAATTTATTATTTCAAAAAGTAACTTATATGATTTTTTTCATAAAAGAAATAAATTATTTAACATATTATGTGAGTGAACATGATATTTATGATAAAACTTTTTTAAATTTGAATATTTTTCTTAACAGTTTAACAAGTTTAGATTATTATAAATAATAAAAAATATATAGATATATCCATGTATATCTGGTTTATCCTCTATTAACCAACATATCTCCAAAATTTGATAATAATATTTAATTATTTTATTAAGCAGTGAGAAAGTAAATATATATAACTTATAATATTCGGAACTCTTACTATATTATCATATCAAGATTAATATAGATGCAACATTCAATATGAATTCAGAAAAATTTTGCCTATGTGGATGTTATTAGATATAACACGAGCTATTGGCTTAAAAGCTTTCTATGAATTAACAAAACTCATTTACTTTTAACTTATATACGAGCCTCAATAAAAATTTAAATAAACTAGAAAAAGAATAGTATAAGAATAAAGTCAAGCACTTATAAACTACGGAGCATCATCCCTTATGCACACAACCTTGAAGACACTTCCTTGTTAATTGTTATATGCTTTATAGGGTGTGTGGGTAATTTAGTGACTCTATACATGGAGGGGAACATGCTATAACTCTTTTAATGGAATAAGCAATATTTTGTTGTATGATATGCCCTCCTATAGTTGGGGTTGTTTTCTTTCATTACAAAAAAAAAAAAAAAAAAAAATTGTTTCGTAATAAAAAAAAAATAAAAAA